TACAGGCACCCGCCACCGCGCCCGGCTAGTTTTTTGTATTTTTAGTAGAGACGGGGTTTCACCGTGGTCTCGATCTCCTGACCTTGTGATCCGCCCGCCTAGGCCTCCCAAAGTGCTGGGATTACAGGCGTGAGCCACCGCGCCTGGCAAAAGATTTTTCTTTATGTCCGAAGGAACGGCTTAGAAATCATTCAAGGATCGCTTGAACCCGGGAAGCAGAGGTTGCTGCGAGCCAAGATCTCGCCACTGCACTCCAGCCTGGGCGACAGAGTGAGACTCCGTCCCCCAAAAAAATCGTCCAATCGGTTTTATTAATATTTTTTCTAATAATGGGAAGCTCCAATCTGTGGTCTTCCCGCCACTAGAGGGCTTTACGCGCAGCCCTGAAGTTTTGCACTTTTTAGACGTGGGTTAAGCAACTTTTAGAATTGCTCGTGGGTTGTGTTGAATGGGGTCAGGTGGCTGCGAGTGGGAAGAGAGCCTACAAACCTGTCTGAAAGATTGCAGGGTGTTCTCGGCTTCCTCTCTCTGAAGCATCTCCTCCTGCAATCTGAAACAGTTGCGCATTAACCAAAGGGGAACTGGGAAACCGCCAGGGGCGGGGCGGCCACACCCAACCACCACGTAGCCGCGCTGCGCCTCCAGAGCCGCTGCGCCACCTCGGCGCAACTAGCGCTTGCAGCTTTCAGGCCTGTGGCCCTCGGCAGGTTTCAGTGGGACCTTGGGCACAGCGCAGAGGGGCAATCACGGTCGCCGCACAGACCTGCAGGACAGCGCCGCCATACCCACCCCCGAGAGACCATCCCTTTGTCTCGCTCCCTCCACCGCCTTCCCCTCCTTCCTTCGCCCGCCCGGCGATTGGCCGCCCGCCAGAAGGGGCAGGAAACTTTATAAAAGTTTGGAGGACTCGCTCTCATTGTGCCCAAGGGCCTTCAACTGCACACAAAGTGGTAGTTTTAAGAAATCTGTAACTTGAAACGGAGCGTCCTTGGGCAATGTGTGGGGACAGAGGGGGAAATGCGAACTGCAAGGTCTGGGTTCTGGGCGGGGCTGCGCCGCCACAGCCACAGCCGCTGCTCACCGCAGTCCCCCCGGCAGGCCTCCCCCGGGCCACATCCCCCAAGGGCGTGGCAGCCCTGGCGGGGGCGGGGGACGTTCCCCTCTCCCTCCAGCCCCCTCCCGAGGCCCAGCGACTTGCAAGGGCGCAGCCTTACTTCTCCCGGAGGCGCATGATGTCCTCGGTCAGGTTGTCGCGCTCCACCTCGACGCGGGCTTTGTCGTTGGTTAGCTGGTCCACCTGCCGGCGCAGCTCCCGCATCTCCTCCTCGTAGAGGTCCCCCAGGCGCGACTTGCCCTGGCCCTTGAGCTGCTCGAGCTCGGCCAGCAGGATCTTATTCTGCTGCTCCAGGAAGCGCACCTTGTCGATGTAGTTGGCGAAGCGGTCATTCAGCTCCTGCAGCTCCACCTTCTCGTTGGTGCGGGTATTCTTGAACTCGGTGTTGATGGCGTCGGCCAGCGAGAAGTCCACCGAGTCCTGGAGGAGCCGCACCCCGGGCACGCTGCTCCGCAGGCGCACGGCAGAGGAGCGCGTGGCATACACGCCGCCCGGGGACGAGGCGTAGAGGCTGCGGCTGGTGCTGGGGCGCAGCGCGCTGCCCAGGCTGTAGGTGCGGGTGGACGTAGTCACGTAGCTCCGGCTGGAGCTCGGCCGGCTCGCGGTGCCCGGGCCGCCGAACATCCTGCGGTAGGAGGACGAGGACACGGACCTGGTGGTCATGGCTGCGGAGGGTGGCGATGGGCTGGGCTGCGGCGGTGGCGCGGACTGGCTCCTAGAGAAGAGGCGGACGAGGGCGCGGTGGGTGTGGGTGGTGGGAGCGCGGCTGAGTCTCTGGCGCGGGGACCCCGGAGCGAGAGTGGCAGAGGACTGGACCCCGCCGAAGGCGCTGTTTTTATAACCGCATTAGGAAGGAGGGTCCCCTCCCACTGCCATCCCAGCCGCGGAGCGCGCCAGCCAATAGGGACCTGGCGAGAAGCGGGGAGGGTGGGCGGGTGGGGTGGGGGCGCCCTCGAGCCTTTCTCCTCCAGGGCCCGGGACTGGGCACAGTCCCGTTACTTCAGCGCTGGGCTGGGACTTTTGGGGGCTTTCCGGATGATAGTCTCAGCTGGGCTCACCCTGGGGTGCTGAAAAAGGCGGGGTCGCGCGGTGAGGGGGGATCCGCCCGGGACTGAACCAGAGGGGTCCGGTGGCACCGCGCCAGAGGGGCGTGGGAGGAAGCGCGCGGCTGCCTCGGGGCTGCGGTCAGGTGGGGAGACCCGCGAGCAAAGGAGCGGGAAGAGGGAAGAGTAAGGGATCCGGCAGATCTGAAGTCGCTGAGAAAGAAACAAAGAGCGCCTGAGATTGGAACGCGGGGTGGGGGCGCGCACAGCTCAGGAACGCAGGGCTCAGGGCGCCGCGCAGCCTCGCTCACCGCCCGCTTGGAAAGGGGGGCTGCTCCGGCCCGCGCCTCTGTCAGTCGACTTGCCTTAACTGGGAGATGCTGGGGGGAGGGGAGGCTCTATCGAGGGACCTAACGGACTCAGTTCAGCTTCGGACGGCGGGAGTTGCCAGGCGGCGGTGGCAGAGGAAAGCCCGAGGGAGAGGGGTGGGGTCGCTGAGTCACCGGTGGTGACTCACCGCGCCCTGCTGTCCCGCCGATTGAGGGCTGCTAAGCGGTTTAGGGGAAACCGTTAGACCAGATTGACTCGAGTCTCCGCGGCTCCGCGCGTGCTGCTGGTTCCCAGTCCTATCAACTTAGAGCTGGGCCTCGCTTTGATGTGTGCGGTGGGGCCCTTTGGAGGACAAGAACGCCTCTAAGTTCTTATAACTCGCTAAAGCCTGACTTCGCTCGATGTGCGGACTTTTTGTTAGTAAGAAACTTCTGCAGCCTTTGAAGAGGCGCCATATGTGGGCCTCCCGGATCACGATTGCACCGGGAAGGTTTTTCTTGCAGAGTCCCCGCCCCCGTCCCTCCGGTCTCCTCTCGCTCTTCCCCCTCCCCCCGTGAAACCACACCCAACTTTTTAAACAAGATCTGAAAATTCTGGGTGAAAGAGGAAACTCAACGTCCGTAGTTTCAAAATCGAACTCAGTGATCAGTGGTTTTCACCCTGGTGGAAGTTATTAAAGGTATAATTTGAGCCAATGAAATAATTAATTAGGTGTTGCTTAAAAACCCCAATTTGATTAATGAGTTCAAATGAAAGGCAATTATATAACACAAATGACAGAATGTTTGGCGGCAATAGATTTGTGTGTTAATTTTAGGACAGCAATGCACAGTGCAGGGTTCACGGTGATTTGTCTGGGAAATGTCACAGGTCCTGTTTTCCAGAAGAATTCGTGCAATTGACCTTGGGGTGAGGGGGGATAAAACTGTCTACGGAGCAAAAAACTTCGTGTCCCAGGCACGGACGGAGTGTTCAGATTCGGTCATCTTAACCTTTCTAGGGAAATCACTCAATTCAAGGGCTGTTGTTTCAATATTAGTAACGAGCAGAGCTGAGTACTCACCAGCCAAGGGAGATAAAAGGAGGCTATGTAAATCAGTCTTCTTGTGATTTAGTAGCAATTGAAAAAGCACAGGTTTTTTGAGTATTTAGATTTATGGTGTACTGAAAGGATTAACTACAGAACCACTGTAAAATCGATTCTGCAGTGGATAGGAGGAAAAAAAATGCATTTCTTTCTTTCTTTCTTTCTTTTTGGTGGGGGCAAGGGGTACTGCAGGTTACCTGGTATTTAAGAAAAATAATTTAGAGGCCAATGAAGAGCTTCTTCTGACTTCTTCGGACAAGCCTCTTTTAGGCAACATTTTGTTTACCTTATCCCGGTTCGTTCTTGCAAATGGTGCTGCCAAGGTGGAATTACAGGACTCTCTACTGCCCAGCTCGCCTGCTGGGGCTTTCTTTTATTCTCTCTTTCACTGGGAGGCTGCAGGTCATTCCCCAAGAGCATTCCTGGGGCTGGGTGCCCTGGAGGACAAGCCTATGCTCTGAGTTACATCTTACTTTCTGAGAGCCCTTTATTCAAGCCACTGCTCAGCAAATGTCACCATTGTGAGTTTGCCTGGAACCCTTAGAATGAGAAAGGCGATCTCCGTATGGGAGGAAGAGAGTGTGGAACTCACTTCTACATGCAATGCCGATCCCAGGGCAATGCGGTGGCACTGTCAGGGGATGCTTGCTGACTGACTCACTATGGAAAAGGAGGACAAGGCATTGGCGCGGTGTGGCACTGTGCCCTGCTGGTGCCCATAGCTGACTCCTCAGGGCTATGGTGATGTCTCCTGGAATGGGCACCGGTTCTCTTCATCATCTCAGGGATAGGTAGCTCTTCCTTCCAACCTGTCCCCATTCTGAAGTCTCAGGGCTGTGACAGGCTGCTCTCTTGCCACATACATGTTTGTTTGATGCATATACAGTGTATAAAAGTGTAAGTGTTCTGTAATCCCAGCACTTTGGGAGGCCAAAGCAGGAGGATTGCTTGAGATCGGGAGTTTGAGAACAGCTTAGGCAACATAGTGAGACTCCATCTCTAATATATATATATATATATGAGAAACAAAAAAAATTAGCCAGGCATGGTGGTGCACACCTGTGGTCCCAGCTACTTGGGAGACTAAGGTAGGAGGATTGCTTGAACCTGGGAAATTGAGGCTGCAGTGGGCTGTGCACACCACTGCACTCCACCCTGGGCAACAGAGTGAGAACCTGTCTCAAAATAAAGTATATGTATGTACTACACACACATATACATACACACATATACAGTGTTCAGTGTGTGCTTCCTATTAGAAAATACCATTGTTTTTGGTGGACTGTAAGAGAAGTGAAAGCTACAAAAACACTTTCACTCATTAATGTAGAATTCATGAGACTTAAGAATTCATTTCATTCTCAGATAAGATATACAGTGCCTCAATCAATGGGTGATAGTCATCAGTCAGGGATATCAATGAATCTGAACTCACATCCTTGAGTAAGACAACTCAGCCTGCTCTCTATGCTACTATGTTCTTAGGTATCTTTTGGGTACACAGACATAGCTTTCACGGGTTTTGTGTTTATTTTTTGATTGCTATGAAAACCTATCTCAGAAGTATTTTTAAGTGCTGGACTAGGAAGCTGCTTTCAACACAGCATGATGTGAGTTGCATATAAATAAAGACATGGTGGTGTAATTCATAGGCCAGGCATAAACACTACCACATCTAAATTACCAACAGTGATTTTGGAATTTGCAAGCTGTCATGATGTCAGTTGAATTGGGTGACTTAAACTGACGGACCAGCCAGCCGTGTGGACAGAAGCTTAGCGGCCTATGGAGGCTTTGGGAAAGCTGGCTAGCCGTGCCAAGAGAACAGCATCTAGCAGGACTGTTTGGATGGAATGTTAGAAAGAAGGAGGAGGGTAGAGTGAGAGGGTGAAAACCATATCAAAACCTAAAATCCATGGAAATACAGGTAATAATAATAGTATAACTACTTTAATGTTGATACCAACTGGATGACAGGCACTGTGTATACATTTAATTTAACTTAACGCACTCACACCCTCCTGCAAGATAGACTTGATCATCCACTTCACTAATGAGGAGTCTAAGATGCAGGCTAACAATTTTCTTGCGGTCGTATGACTAGCAGGGGAGGGAAGAAGGGGACAAGAATTTGAATCGAGGCCTTTCTGACTCTAAATGCACGTCTGTTTTCTGTTTGCCTTGATAACAAAATTTTGCTTATTATCAACCAGTTCAATTCACAAATATTAAGTGCTGGACTTATTATTTAGGGACCTACTACGTTCCAGGAACTGAAGAGATGGGATGATTAACACAGATCTTGCTGCTAAGGGGCAGATTTTTAGAGGAATTTGGCAGACAGCTACAACACCATGTTTATGATGTAAAATGATGTAAAAAGCAAAATCAAATGATGTAACAGTGATCGTAATAAATAAGAAGGGAGTTTGTTTTCACCGGCATTCTAAAACTTTACTTTCATTTGTGAGTTAAAATTTTTCAGGTAGATTCCGTTTTGCCTCTTAGGAGGAATCACATGCGAGATTGGGTTTAGCTTGCCTCACGCCCTAAAACCCATGAACCACCCTCGCTTCCCTTGCCAGCTTCCCTGTCTATTCAGGGCAACGCAATGAAACAACAAGATTGGAAACTTTCATCATTGCCACTTTCTAACTCTTCCATCTCAGATCCAATGGGTATCATGCCCCGCTCTTTCTGGATCCACACCTCTGTTACGTTGCTGTCACTCAGATCCAAGCCATTTTGTACCTCCTTCCTGCAATACTGCAATTGGCTTCCATTCCTCCATCCTTTTTTTCTCCCACCAATGCATCTATCTTCAAGCCATCACCCCTTTTTCTTTAAAAAATATATATTTTTATATATATATATATTTAGAGACAAAGGTTTGCTCTGTTGCCTAGTCTGGAGTGGTGCAATCATAGCTCACTGCAGCCTCTTAACTTCTGAGCTCAAGCATTCCTACTGCCTCAGCCTCCCAAGAAACTGGGATTACACGTGTGTGCCACCCATGCCTAGCTAACTTTTTATTTCTTGTAGAGCCAGGATCTTGCTATGTTGCCCAAGCTGGTCTTGAACTCCTGGGCTCAAGCAATCCTCCAGCATTGGCCTCCCAAAATGCTGGGATTACATGCATGAGCCCCCACAGTTGGCAAAAAACTTCCTTCTTTAAACTTCTTGGTGGGAATTGCTCATCTCCTCACTAGAATGTAATCTCCATAAGGGAAGGCAGGAATTTTTCTCTTTTTTGTTCACCATTGTATTTCCAGTGGCTAGAG